GGTCCGGCCGGACAATTGAAATAGGGACAGCGGTAAGGATGACGTCCGCCGGCCGGAAAGTTTCGGCGCCCTCACCGGCGAAGTCGCCGCCGTCACCCGCAGACTTTGGGGAAGAAGACATCGCGATGAAGAAAGAAGAAGAAAGAGAGGGTAAAACAAGAATTACCGAAGGAATCGCCGGAGATTGTCGCCGAAAAGTTCTTGGAAGATGCTTGGAAATCGCGAAGCTCGACAGATCCGAAAAGAGAGGAATTTCAGAAAGTTCTTGGGAAAAGTGAAGAGAAGTTCTGGAAAAGAGATATATATAAGATCCCACAACCAATCGGAAGTAAACACGTGGACAGGCCTTTTAAAATTCAAAATTCGAAACGGCCCAAGTAACCGAAGCGTCCTGTGCAAGATAACCGTCACCCACCTTCTGGTCAACCGTTACGACCGTTCGAAATGCGTGGCCCATAATCAGCCACGTGTCCCCCCACAGCGTGAATGCAGTTAACGCTCGCACCCACGTTTATCAACCGTTACACCCACGTCTTCAGTCGCCAATCGTTGCGCCCTCAAACAAGTATGTCGGAAGTGCCGACCTCAACAGGAGACGGACACGGGCTCGAGGGGCCCTGCTCGGATCCCGCCGATTGAAGACGACCTCCGGAGAGGTCCGAAACACCTCACCAGAGCTCGGGGGCCTGTATGTTGATATCCGAGCCCGGACCCAACGTAGGTGCCGGTCCGAGCCGGAGGAGCCGGTCACCAAAACCGCACGTGGGTGCCGAGCTGAATGAGAGTCAAAGTCGTCTGGGACGGTGGGGGGAACCAGTTCCGAGATCGGCACCGAATCCATGTGGCTACGAGATCGGCACCTTATTCCCAGTCTCGCAAAGGCGGCTCCTGATAGAAGTACGACGTCGGACACAATAAAATAATGCCACTTGTCTACGAATGATTGCCGATGGGACGTCCAACTCAGCTAGAACGTGCCCGCATTTAATGCAGCCCACGTTCGCATTAAATGTATGGCAGGCAATGATTAGAGAATCCGGAAATCACTCCCAATCAGTCAGAAAAGCGCCGGCTTGTCCCATTGAGCTACTGTACGACAAGATCGCTGAACAGTATCCGAACAGTGTGACATTAAAGTCTCCTATAAATAGCAACCCCCTCATTTATTTTTGGGTTGTTGAAATCCCAACTACTCGAGCCCATATTTTCTCTTTCTAAAGAACTTGTAAGAAACTCTTGTAAGCAATATAAGCATATCGCAAGTGCCGACCTCGTACGAGAGGCCGAACTCGTGATCCATTAATAAAACCGTAATTAAACCATATTTCCTAGTCTTCTTTTCGTTTTCTTTACATTATTCGACTTTTTAACCGTTGATCGGAAACGTCCGTCAACAATATTTATATTAAACGATGAGATATACGTTAATAACATAACACGTAGAGAACTAAAGTTAAACACAACCACACGTATGTCTATATATTTGAAAATAAAATTAAAAACATAACCATTTGCTTTTGAAAATCTATATTGTCAACATCTTGTTGCGTAGCAAAATTACAGAAGTCAAAATTAAAACGTTGGGAAATCGATAGGATACTCCAATACTTTGCAGTAATAAATTGCTATTTACCAATGTTACTTTCTACCATCCTCGAACTTGTCACTCATCTTTGTAATGTTAACTTCATGAATTAGTCTAGTTATGCGGCCACCCTGTAAAATCGCAATACAAAAATAATACTTTCGTCAAAAAATATTAAAATAATAAATATTGACAACTACTATTAAATCACATAATGAAGAATACTAACATCACTATCGTGGAAAACTATTTCCAAATAACTTCTGTAATAGACATCAAACATCGTCTTAAAGATGTTGCTGGAAGTTTCAAGATGACCTTCGTATTTCATTTAAAGAAGTTGATTAGACCAAGGGTTCATCATATTTCACTTGTCCACAGATTTCTTTCCTCACATCTTCATTAATTCATTTAAGTATACATAAACCACAAATCGTGAAAAAGCCTAAGAAAACATATAGAAATCAGTCAAAGTAATCAAACAGGAGAACTGCAGAATAAGAATGTACCTGAAAGTCCCCACAGCAAATGAGAAGATCAATCTTGATTTTTTCAACTTCTTGCAGGTGTAATAGAGTAGCATATACATTATCCAAATCTCCATGCATGCACCCTTCTACAGCTATTTTCATCTAAATTTATATATTTTCAATTAAAAGCAAAATAAACAGTGCCTTTAAACTAATGGCAACAATTCAGTAGTGGCATTTACACAAGCTTCCAAACATGGGATATTCAAAATTTTATGCATATCAATTACTAAAATATGCTAAAACTCCAATTTGTAACTCCATCAGCAAAACTTTACAAAGCATTAAAACTGAATAAGGATCGGATTCACAGGGACGCAGTCAATCTCATGTCAGGCACGTCCTACACACAGTGCAAACTCACTTTTGAGTCAAGTTTATCATAAAGCCTACTATCAAACCTCGCCCAAGTTAAGTTCTAGATAACCTATGCTCATCTTAATCACGACAATAGCCAGTTTAGCTCGAAAAGATTTTATTAGAAAACCTTTTTTTCTGTTCTCAACAAATTACAGCTTTATGAAAGTGATATTTTTGTGAAAGTGAATAAATAACACACACGGTGATCATCCTAGCAAGTTGATGACGCCTTCGCCGATGGTGTCGGCTTCTCGCATCATCTCGCATCATCTCGTTGCTTTTGAGAAACTTTATAATCTCACAAAATTTGTTTTAATTTACTATTCATCATAAAAGTCAACAGACACTTGTAGTCGGACCAATCAAATAAATTAATCATAATTAATAGGCTCAGTCCCCAGCCAGACACAGGCTTGACAGGCCAATGTTTTACAGGCTAAATTGATAACCATTTCAGCACCCAAACCATCAAACCAAAGAAATACTGACCTTGATAAAGTACTGATACACCCCATTTGGCATTTCTTGCACCCATTGTACCCTGAAAATCAACATGATTCTTTATTAAGGCTCACAAAGTCACAATAATTTACTAACCAAAAGGAATAACCTCAGAAACTGAATTTAATATTTATAAAGAACCCCCACAACCGCTCTCCCCATCCACACATGTATTCATGTGCGCACACACACACACACTCACACACATGACACATGTATTCATGTGCACACACACACACACAACAAACACAAATAAGGTGAAGTGCAGGCAAGCTCAACGGTATTATTTTAAAGTAGAACATCCGACTTTTTCATGATAATAAGGTGAAGTGCAGGCAAGCTCAACGATATTATTTTAAAGTAGAACATCCGACTTTTTCATGATAATAAAAATACTCGCCAATCGCCATAGGTCTTTTACAACAAATAATTTCAGTAGCACAGTCCCAAGTTGGTCATGAATAATACGCACAAGTTTAAGATATATTACCCATCCAGTGGATTAACTATTCCAGGAATAGAATCTAAATGATAATTTGTTAATTTTGTGGCTTATCTGCATGACATTAGATTAAACCAGTACAATAATCAGTATTCAGAATTTAAATTAAAAAAACTGTATAAAGAAGCATTGACCACAAAAAAAGAGGATTTTAACACATAATTTATAGAAGGAAATTGAACAATTACTCACATTGTAACTTTCCGTCTGTATATTTAGCAAATCGAGCAGCTGGAAATTTTGGTGATGAATGCTCTTACCAGGGGCAAAGTGGAAATTGCCAGCAACTCTATTAACCTCCAGAGATCCATATATATTGCATCCTTCACCTACTTCCTCTTTAACTTTTTGCACAAAACCTTCTCTTTTGCACTTAATACCAGAAACCACGACCAAGAAGAGATGATTGTTCAATTGCAGAGGTAAAAAGTTTAGTCAGATTGAACATCAATCAGTTTCGTGCTTTTATTTGTTCTAGACATAATCACAACCATTCAAGACAAGAAAATTAGCAAATCCCCATTTCCACCAATTTTAACAGACATCTAATATATTTTTAGGGGATGAAATGGTTGTCATACAATAAAACTATAACTTGTCATATAGAGAGTATTTTATCTTAGCCATGACATCTTCCTTTGATATCTATAAGTGACTTTCCCAAATACTATGGTGTGCAGTTATACAGTTCCTACCTTAATTAGTAAATCTCATGCAAATAGAACATATCATAAAGAAAACGTTAAGTATGTCATCCCTTTCAAAAGAATATTGGTCATAAAGGAACAAAAAAAATTGCTTAATAAATAATGGTAAGGTACTAAGACAGCAAAAGATGTTCCCATCAACGTGATCAATCAAATTAGTGTTTGTCAGTCCCCAACATTTCTTACGATATGCTTATTTCGTTGATGAGAACTTGCTCGTCCATGTCGGGGAGGATGGTGGCGAGGAGCTCGTCGAACTCGACATCGTCTTTGTCGCTGGCATCCATGTTGGGGAGGAGGCGTGGATCTGTCGGGGAGGATGGCGGAGGCGAGCTCGAGCTGGGGGAGGCTACCATCGTGGTCCATGTCGAACAGCTTGAATTTGTAGTGCTGCCAGATCTTTCTGATTGAAGTTTTGCCATCGCGATTTTGGCCGGGAATCGGCGTAGAAAAATCCATCTGCATTACCGGCGAAACATAGAAAGTCCATTTCTAGTAAAAAAAACTCGCAAAAAATTCTCCGGGTAAATGTAGTGAACCCGCCTTCACTTTCAGCCGTCTCCTACTCAACGCATCGAACAATTCCAGCGCAAATTCCTTCTAATCATTCCTGTAACAGAAAATTACAGTTGTAACTAAAAATCAAGCACTCATTTGAGCTCAACAAACCGCAATTAACAACACAATTAGCCATCAATTAACAACCTATGCATTGCCCAAAATTAGATCGATAGAGGTAGCCATCTTTGGCGAGTTTCGCAAAGTTCCTCTCGACTTTGCTCCAGCCATCGACGTGACTTTTTTTGCCGTTGCTGATGAACTTGAGCCCCCGGAGCGCGTACGATCCAGCTGCGCCCGCTGGCGGCGCATCGCCATTGCCGCCAGCGCCGATTCAATTCCGCCTCTGCCTCCCACAGCGCCGCCGGAGAGTATTAAATTCCATGGTGGAATTGCATATAGGTGGACCGAGAATTTTCCATTGGAGGCCAGCTTCCATTTGGTAGGTTGAGATTATTTAGGGATGAAAAGAGAGAGTATTCAAAATCCGTCGCGTTGTTTTCAGGCTCGACCGCCGGCCGGATTTTAGAGAAACGACTGGATGGGGAAGAAAGGTAATTGATTTCGAGATGTGGAATTCTTGGGTGTTATTGATAAATTTTAAGAGGATAGTTGAGGATGGCTCACCGATTCTGATGTTGGGAGGTAATTTGGGATTGGAGAAAGAGAAGAAGGAGAGTGACGGGAAAGAAGAAAATCGGGCAGAAGAAGAAAAAAAGGGAAAATAGAGAGAGAAAAAAAATTTTGGGGATAAAAAGAGAGAGATTATCTTTCCTTTTTTTTCTCGTTTTTGCTTTTGCTGCGAATTTTTTTTTTTTAAATTTTGGATTAAAAAAATCATATTGTAGAAATAGATAAGTTCAAATAGGTTGAAATCAATAAATAAAATCTCTAAAAAATTCAAATTGATGATTGGCGGGCATATTCAATTTTTTTGCCAAAAATCCTGCTCATTATAGTAAATTTTAGACGGGAATTGAATTTTTTTTTTCCTGATTTTCTACATGTTTCTTTTAAACAAGTATCATTTTCTCTTTATATATTAATAGACTAGTGTATATCCCGTGCGATGCACGGAGGAGCTCATATTTTAAACTTTTTTTTAGACTTTATTTTAAATATAATTATTTATATTTTTCACATCTCGTCTATTATGAAATTAAAATAAATGCAAAAAATAAAAAATATATATTATTAAACACTTCTCTTTATACAATATTTTTTATTTAAGGAATATTATCAAATCTATATGATTGTTAACGTACAAAAAACAATGGAAATAATCCAGACTTTAAAGTAAAACTATTTTTTATTATTTTACAAATAAAAATCATCCATTTTTTTTTTATTTCAAAAAAATTTGGCAAGTTTGTTAATGAATTAAATCAAGTTATACAAATGATTAAATAGTTAAACTATTATATTAATTATATTTTAAGAAATCCGATTATATAAATGTGGGTAAAAAAATATTATACTAATTAGTTTGTTAGGATTGTGATTATATGGAATTTAAGATAAAATGAAAATGTACCCAAAAAATCTGTTCGTGGTCTTTTCCTTTAAATGTTTGAATTTAAAATTATATAACCAAATTTACATTATATCACATAAGGAAAAATAAATAATAATATTTATGAATATGTTTAAAAATTTAATTTTGAATTTCAAATAGAGTAGAAGACGGAATAATTCAAATTTGTTTTCAAAACGTTTTTAAAGTCTTTAATATTCTGGTAAGTATACCCGTAAGAATAATCTTACTATTTTAATTTCAAAAATTTTGGCAAGTTTGTTAATAAGATAAATTCAGTTAGACAAAAGATTAATTAGTTAAAATATTATATTACTTATATTTTAAAAATTCCAGTTATATAATTGTAATTGTATTAATTAATTTGTTAAAATGTGATTATATGGAAGTTAAGACAAAATGAAATGTACCCAAAAAATCTGCTTAGGATCTTTTTCTTTAACTGTTTGAATTTAAAATTTTAATATCGAATTTCGATTATATCACATAATGAAAAAATAAATAATAAACGTTTATTAATATATTAAAATATGTAATTTTGAATTTCATATAAAGTATAAGGTAGGATAATTCAAATTTATTTTTTAAATAAAAGCTATGATAAACATTTATTGTTTCTCTTTCAAAATATTAATAAATAAAAATATAAATCCAAACAAATTTTGATAAAATGGAATGTACCCAAAAAATCTGTTTGTAATATTTCCTTTAAACAAATTTTTTTTCAATTTTAAACAAAAGATAAACATAATCGCTTGAAAAGAAAAAAGAAGTCAAATATACTGCTAAAATAAAAATCTATTTTCCCTAATCAAAAGGAACTTGAATTTATCCGATATGGAAGGAATCTCATCCAAAATATATTGAACTCATCCAAAACATACTGAATTTCGGAATGAAAAAATTTCAAATGTTCAAAAAAATTTCAAACAAAATTTTAGGAGGGAAAAAATGATTTGAGCGGTAAAATAAAATAATTTTTCAAACATTTTTTCTTCTCTCTATTATATAGTAACTAGTACGAGTCCCGTGCGATGCACGGGTAAGAGATACATATTAATATTTATATTAAACGATGGGATATATTAAAAGGGAAATCGGTAGGATACTCCAACACTTTGCAGTAATAGATTGTTATTTACCAATGTTACTTTTTACCATCCTCGAACTTGTCACTCATCTTTGTATTGTTAACGTCACGAATTAGTCCAGTATGCGGCCACCCTGTAAAATCGCAATACAAAAATATTTTCGTCAAAAAATATTAAAATAATAAATATTGACAACTATTTTTAAATCACATAATGAAGAATACTAACATCACTATCGTGGAAAACTATTTCCAAATAACTTCTGTAAGAGGCATCAAACATTGTCTTAAAGATGTTGTTGGAAGTTTCAAGACAACCTTCGTATTTCATTTAAAATCCTTGATTAGACCAAGGGTTGATCCATGCCTTTATTTTAAATGTATGAGTTTATGATAAGTATTGGATTTCATTTTACCAGGAATGTGAGTTTATTTATTTGGTGCATATATATGCACTTATCTTCTAAGTTTCAAAATGTGGATTTATATATTATAAGCTTATTACTTGATTTGATTTTTTTGGCGATTGTGAGGAAAATCGGATCATATCCCAAGAATTTTTTCAATTTTGGTGGTAATAAAAACTATTCTAATAATGTTCTGTATTTATCTCTTAAATATATGATTCTTTTTTTTAAAAAAATGGTAATAAAGACCGTTAGTAATTTGAGGTTCCCAAAATTTTTTATGTTCTCAATATTTTTTAATCTAATATGTTAACACTAACTATTTCGAATATGATAATTTGTACACCGTGAAGCTCCGGCTCCGTAAAATAAGAATACTCAGCATTATTATTACAACTCTTCGTTAGTCAAAGATTATAAAAAATTCGTCCTATAAACAGCAGAAACAACAACAAAAAATGCATTTCAACTCTTGGCAACAGGAACTCATCTCTCACAAATTCTCCTGTGGGGAGTGAGCAATTCTTCTGAGGGAAGTGAGTGATTCGATTCTCTTCATGGGGAGTTTCATTCCATCGGGGGTGGGTTTTTTGGTACTCTTTCTTGAGATCTTTGTTGTACTGTTATGTTAGGGGGATTTAGGGCTTTCTGGGCTTTGGGGGTTTAGGTCTCTTTTCTTTTTCCTTTTCTTTCTTTTCCTCTTCTTTTTTCAGGTTCAGACTGCTTTGGAGAGCTTTGATGGATTGCAACGTGACTGGGGACAAGGGAATGGACGGAGATGCAGCAGACCTTGAAAATCTTCTTCAAAATATTGCGCTGTCGGAATTGGAAAGCTGTATGATTGATTTAAAAAATGAAGATATTAAGCTAACCGAAGGGGAATGCAAGAAGAGCTTATTTGGCCGGATTATTGGTGATCGAAGAGCAAGTTTAGTTGGAATCAGAAGAGCTATGGGGGCTATTTGGCAGATTCAACATCCTATGGTAGTTAGAGAAGTAAAGACCAATTTTTTCCAATTTATCTTTGGGAGTGTGGCTGACAAACAAAAGGTCTTATCTGGGACCAACTGGGTTTATGAAAATCAATATTTGATACTAGCTGAATGGGAAGAAGGCTTAACTGAGAGGCATAGCAAATTCGCTGAACTCAAACTTTGGGTGCAAGTCAATGATGTGCCTATCAATTGGCTTAGTACTGAGGTGGGATTAAAGATTGGCCAAATGTTCAAGCAAACCAAGAATGTCACTGTGGTAAAAGCTGGGGGACAGAGAGGCAGCTATTTCCGACTTCTGGATGTGGTTGATGTTTCTAAACCATTGCCAAGAATAGCAAACCTGAAGCTTAACAACACCCAAGTAAGAGCCAGGTTCCAATATGAAAAACTGATCAATACATGTTATTATTGTGGAATTATCGGCCATTTAGAGCGACACTGCGGTAAGAAAATGGAAGACATCGATAACAGAACTGTGCGAGAAGGCCAATATGGGGAATGGCTACGAGCAATGGATGGAAATGCGGGATATAGATCGCAATCAGCCTTCAATTTAGGAAATCAGTCTACGGGCTCTCCTAGCAAAGAGCAAGAGTCTAGCCATGGAGCCAAACCGGACACCCCTGTTCATAAATCTGCAGGAAGTGAATCACAGCCGAAGCAGGACTCGAATCTCAGGCTGACAAATATATCAGAACATGTGGGAGAAGCTCCTCAACCCATAGGAGATCAGCAACTATTTTTAGCTCTTGTTCCAAGTCCATCTCACCTTCCACTCAATACTCAATCTGAAACCAATGTGATGGATATAGGTGAAGATTCAAGTCAGCTGTTGGGTAACAAGATTGATACTCTCATGGTTAAATATCAGAAAAGGAAGGGATGGAAAATGAAGAGTAAGGTGCTTAATGGTGAATCTTCTACACCTACTCTACCAACTTCAAATCCTGATGATATCATTACCAGAGGCAGAAAAAGAAATGCAGCAACTATTCCAGCTGGAAATGCTGATGAGATCTCAGACCTTAGAAATTCCAAGAAGACGAAAACTAATTTGTTTGAGGTGGAGGTGGCCAGCCTTGAGTGGCCCCAAGGGACCAATGAAGCTCATCATGTGGAACTGTAGAGGACTGGGTGGACCCTCTACAGTTGCCCAGCTCAAAGAGTCTTCAAGACTCATCCATCCAAATTTTGTCTTTTTATCAGAAACCAAAAAGAAAAAATCATTTATAAAATCAGTTTGTAATAATATAGGTTTTAAAGATAGATGGTTTGCTGTTGAGCCCCAAGGTTTAAGTGGAGGATTATTAGTATTGTGGAGTGCTGAAATGGTGGTTAAGCAAGTTTTTGGTAATCATTTCTGCATCCAGATTGAACTTGAGGGCTCAGGAGGGGATGATTCTTTTTGGATTATATTTATTCATGCCAATACAGACAAGGCTGAGAGGATGAGACAATGGAATTTTCTGGAAGAAGCTCAGGCATCATGGGGTAGTAAGTGGATTTTGGGGGGAGACTGGAATGAGACTTGTGCACCTAGTGAGAAGAGAGGAGGAAGGGTGAAAGCAGCAGGTGAATTTATCAGCTTCAACAATTTTATAGCAAGAATGGGAATGCAGGAGCTCCATCTAACAGGGCACAATTTCACATGGGAGAATTGTAGGAGTGAGGAAGGTTTCATTGAAGAGAAGATAGACAAAATATTTGTCCCTTTTGATTGGCTTGCTGACCATGAGGATGTGGAGGTTCAGAACATCTTTAGAAGCTCCTTTGATCACAGGCTGCTAGCTCTTAATGACAACCCAGCTCGACAGGAACTTAGAAGCAAAAGGTTCTTCTTTGATAAACGGTGGCTAAAAAGGGAAGGAGTTCAGGAAGTGGTGCAAGAGGGTTGGCAGTCAGAAATGAATGGTACCCCTATGTATCAATTCTCGGAGAAGATCAAATCCACTAGGCTTGCTCTGTTGAAATGGAGTTCTAGTTTCAGGAAAGACCAGCTGAAAGCCAAAGCGGATATTAATGGAAAACTGGAAAGGATGAGCACGATGGGAGCTAACAGAGATTGGGTAGAATGGGAGAGATTGAAGAAAGAACTGGATAAAGTCACTAAAGATGAAGAAGAATACTGGGCTCAAAAATCCAGAGCTCAATGGATAAAAGAAGGTGACGCAAACACTAAGTACTTCCATGCTTTAACTTTACAAAGGAGGCGGTCCAATGCAATTACTAGATTGGTAAATGAAAATGACCAAGTCCTTGATAATAAGGAAGCCATTCAGCAGCACATTTGCTCTTTTTACAAGCATCTATTCAGGACTGAAGGATCAAGGGGTGGTGCAGACATTTTGCAATTTATTCCATCATCTATAACCTCTGAGCAGAATGAAGCCCTTATTGCCCTAGTCACAGAAGAAGAAATCAAAGCAGCTCTATTCAGTCTTGATCCTGGTAAAGCTCCTGGCTTAGATGGTATGAATCCCCTCTTTTTTCAAAAATTCTGGTCAATTATTAAGCATGATTTTTGTAAAGCTATTTGTAGTTTCTTTGCTTCTGGTCAACTTCTTAAAAGTTGGAACCATACTTTGATTTCTTTAATCCCCAAGTGCATTAACCCTTCTTCCCTCAGGCAATATAGACCTATTAGCTTGTGTGGGGTATCTTACAGAGTGATAGCAAAGATCTTATTTACTCAGACTTAAGCCTTTATTATCTGATTGTATTAGTGAAAATCAAGCAGCTTTCATTCCAGGCAGGCAACTGCTTGACAATGTGGTCATTGCTCATGAAGCTGTTCATTATCTCAATAGGCTTAGGTCTAGGAAGAAGAGCTTTATGTTACTCAAATTAGACATGGAAAAAGCTTTTGATAGGATTGAATGGGAGGGGGTTACTAAAGTTCTTTTGAAAATGGGGTTTCATTATACTTTTGTTAAATGGGTGAGGGCCTGCATCTCATGTACTTCTTTTTCTATTAATCTGAGTGGGGAGGTCAAGGGATATTTTAGTGCATCTAGAGGCATTCGACAAGGGGACCCTCTTTCCCCTTATATTTTCATTATAATTTCTGAGGTTTTTTCCAGGTTGATTCAGAATGAAGTTTCTAGACGTTCCTTTAAAGGCCTGAGAATTGCTAAGAAGAGTCCTTCTGTTTCCCACTTGATGTTTGCTGATGATACCCTGGTCATGTGTGAAGCTGATATGAATCATGCTCATATTTTATTGAATTTGCTGCACAAGTACCAAGCTTTTACTGGGCAGAAGGTGAACATGAGCAAATCTTCCATCTTTTTTAGCAGAAACTGCCTAAATACTACCAAGTTATCAATTTGTCAGCAGTTAGGGGGTATTCAGATTCATAGATCAACCAGATATTTGGGATTACCCCTTGGAATTGGCAGGTCTAAAAAGGATTCTTTTGAATTTGTTCTGAATGCAGTGATAGCTAAGCTTGTTAGTTGGAAAAACCAGTTTTTATCTTCTGCAGGCAGGGAAGTCTTACTGAAGGCCGTTCTGGGGGCTCTACCTGTTTTTTCCATGTCCTGCTTTTGTCTGCCAAAGACTTTATGTACAAAAATTGCAAGACTTTTTGCAAGATTCTGGTGGAGGTCTGGTGACAATCAATCATGAATTCATTGGAGGGCTTGGAATAAAATTACTATACCTAAGAAAGCTGGTGGTCTGGGGTTTAAAGAAATTGCTTTGTTCAATGAGGCTCTTATTGTCAAGCAGATCTGGAGGTTAGCCACTAATCCATCATTACTAGTCACAAGAGTTCTTAGAGGAAAATACTTTTCTGACTGCTCCATTTTGCAAGCTAAAAAGCCTCACAATGTATCCTGGTTGTGGAGTAACTGGTTGTGTGTCAAAGATAAGTTCAAATCCTTTTTCAGAGTGGTTGTTAAGAATGGCAGAACAACAAAAATCTGGAGTGACCCCTGGATTCCAGATGTTGTGGCTGGTTTCCCTCAGAAAACAGAAAGAGGAGTGAGGGAGGTTTACTGGGTGAGTGAGCTTATTGATGATGATGGAAGGCATTGGAACAGGGAGAAGGTTTTTGAGTACTTCAATCTACCAGATGCTGAAGCTATACTGAAGATCTCCACTCTTGATCCCTTGGCATGTGATAAATGGAGCTGGGCTCTGGACAGTAAAGGTAAGTTCTCAGTCTCAAATTCATATTCTCATTTGGTTCTCTGCAAAATCAAAGACCTTGACATAGCAGAAGGCAGCCATACTGGTATGATGGAGCTGAAAATCAGAAATAGAAGTTGGGGTCTCAAAGTAAAACAGAAGCTAAAGCATTTCATCTAGAAATGCTATAACAATACTCTGCATGCTAGTTGCAATCTGAGACAGAAAGGGTTGGACATTGATTCAAAATGTAAAAGTTGTGGGGCTGCAGAGGAGACTGTGGAGCATATACTTCTTCACTGTGATAGAGCACAAAAGGTTTGGAAGCTATCCCCTTTGGATTGGAAATCACCAGATGTCACTGAACCCTTCAAGTATTGGTGGTGGGATGTTTGCTCTGTTGATAAGCAAGTCATATCTGAAGATAGAATAGAGCTATCCACCTACATCTTGTGGTGGCTCTGGAAGTCTAGATGTTTGTGGAAATTCCAAGACATATGGATGCCTGAGCAAGCAGTGATCAAAACAGCCCACATTGACTGGCTGGAATTCAAAAACTACAAAAGATAAAAGGAAGGCAGCAGGGAGAATGAAGCCATCTAGGTCCTTTGGTTCAGTGGAGACTTATTTTCCTTTCTGTTTTTCTGTCTATTTCATTTAGTCTGCTTGTTACATGGGTGCTGCTTTTGAGAACTTGGCTTGTACTTATTTTCTTAAGTTTCAGTATGAGTGGTGCATCTATAGGTTCCTGAGATTTTCAGCCTATAGTTTGCTTGATGTGTAACCATTTGTTTAGGCTATCTTCATAGATAGTCTCATCTGTTTGTATTGAACATTGGGGTCTTGGCCCTTCGGCTTGTACTTTGCTATTATGGAATGAAATTATCTATCGTCTTGAAAAAAAAAAAAACTCTTGGCAACAGATTAGCTACTAAAAAGGCAAAATTTTGTTCTTTGATCTGCCTTAACAACTGCTTCTAATTTTAACAATCCTAACTCGAGACTAAATTTCCATTCACAAGTCGGTTTTGGAAGAACATGAGGAATATTGGAAGGCAATGTCCTTAACAACTTGTATCAAGCCCTTGAGATCATTAGAACCCAACTCAAGACAGTATTTCAGCAAACCACCCTCCAAAACTTCTTGCTGCAAAACTTCCACAGCTTTGCGCAATGGCCCCTGCAAATTTTTAATCGACACGATTGAAACAGTGATTAACAGGATAATAGGAAATGCAAAAAATCAATAACACAAGTTTAGCCATTTTCATCACCAATCCCTCAAACACCATTTAAGCAATCAAAACATCTAATTTTTTTTATCAATCATAGGTAAAACACTAAACCCTAAGAAAATAAAAGCAAGAACACAAAAACAGGTACACATACGGATTGACAAAAGCAGTGAGCAGCCAAGCAAAGATCGACTTCGAGACACCAAGGGCTCTTTTGTAATTCCGACCGATCCAGGCGACCCTCTCCGCATCCAACTTGATCCGGTTCAGCTCGTACAGAGCTCCCAGCAGCTCGTTCAAATCCGACATTAAGCCGCCTAGGGTTCGAAACGACGCCGCGTCTCCCCACGCTTGTTTTCCTCACATACCTATACGTGGTACCATTGTTTAATATTTGGTTAAAATACACAACGGTTTTATCTCAAGTCCATAAGCAAAGCTGTACACATCACTCCTTAATTCCTCACGATCGCTTTTTTTTTCGGGTCAAGATTTCTAGAAGAACGACCCCAAAGTTGTACACGTCACTCCTTGCGGTTAAATGACCTAATAATCATCATATTGTTAAAAACTAAAAAAAAAATCTTGATTTCGCAATTTCGACTCATTTGGTAAAAACCGAAAGCTAAATAGACACGAAATGGTGCAATGAGAATCATAAGCTAAGCAGATTACATATATAAATCAAGAAAAAAAATAATAATAAAATTGGGCTAACATGTGATTTGTACCTGTGGATAAATACTCGGGAGCTGCATATCCGTAAGTTCCCATGACCCGAGTCGAGACATGACTCTTATCATCAGTGGGCCCGTCCCTAGCCAGCCCGAAATCAGATAGTTTCGCGCTGTAGTTCTGTGAGTTAAGGGAAGGCACGAAAAGACAGTCACAAACTCAGTACAACTCAACCAAACCAATCTGAAAACTCCAAAAAAATTCGATTCTAATTCATTAATCCTAAAGCAAGCAGAAAAAAAGAATAAAATAAAAAATTTACTTACCGAGTCGAGAAAGATGTTAGAAGTCTTGAAGTCCCGGTATATTACTTTTATTTCGTCACTATGGAGAAAGGCGAGCCCTCTTGCAGCATTAAGAGCAATCTTCATTCTCAAACTCCATGGAAGTGGCTGAAAGTACAATCCTCCTGAAAGTACAACACCAACCAACTTAACTTCATCATCACATTTTCAAGTTGGTCGAATCGAAACCTGCTAAGCTTACATATTTATAATCCAATGCAGCAAAGTTTAATCTTATAGAGATTATGGGACTCTTTCTTTCTTTTTTAATCACTCTTTTGTAGTTATCTGCAAGCACTGCATATAACACCATTCATAGAAGAACAAACCGAACTTACTCTTGAATCTGTGATTTTCCAAACGGCACGAAATTCTTCACGGAATGTGTTCTGGCGAGCTTTCAAGTTGGGTGTTCTAAAGCTTGCGTGAATGAGAGTGGCTGTGGCAGAGAAAGCAAGTTAGAGCCAATAAATTCAGAGGGCAAAGACGCATAAGCAAATGAAATTTTGAGTTACCAAGAAGTCCAATAGCAAGGGCCCATAAGACAATGAGAATACCACATGAAGCAAACCAGAGGAAGAAACTCACTGCAAAGCGGAATAAGAAGGCATAGTTACTAACATGTGACAGTACATCCTCCAAGATGCAAAGTAAACAATATGTGAAAGAGAAGATATCTCTTACTTGCAGAAAATACCAAGACGAATACCCATCGATGCTGTCCACATATATGTATTGCTCGTTTTGCAGATGGGCGCCCTCGAATAACAGGTCTAAAATTACACGCCCATGTAAGATCGTCCTGCAAAGCTACAATAACAAACATTGACGATATTAAAAAGATGACAGGACAATGATGAAAAACAAAAGAATAATGGTTCACGACTACTCAAGACATGATCAGTCATCCATCATAACAAAACCAGTTCTCATCCCAGAAAAAGTATTAGGAAGGCGGATGACACACTACACTCGTGATTCCAGATTTCCGGTTCTTCCCAACACATACTTTCCTGGAAAAAAACCAAAACCAAAATGACAAACCCAAAAAAAAAGGCAAAAGGCAAAAATCTCCCAAAAATAAAATGAACAATACCAAATTGCAATCGGTCTTCGACATCGCTATCTCCTTCCTTCTATTCTCCTCCGCCGTCCCCACCGACTTCCGAACGGAAAAATCTCATGATTTGGACTTGAAGTGAAGAAGAAATTAGGGTTTCCGCCGCCGACGGAGCCGAATTCCGCCGTTCCAGAACCGAATATCCCAACGTCGGTCTTCAAGGACCTGTAGCTAAACTTAAGAGCGGGCACGACCCGAGCCTAACTTCGAAGTTGATGGAGAGCTTGTGGCGATCACCGACGGCAATCTCGGCGGAAGAAAGGTGGACGCCGATGATGGTTAGGGGAATCGCCTTGAGATTTGGGGGTTTCGGGGTCCTCCCAAGGAATGAGCGAAGATTTGGGGATTTTTTCTCGAGATAATAGCGGCGATGTGGAGATGTATACTTAATTAAGATGAGATAAGATTATGGCAAAAAAATCTCACCATATCTTTAATGATAAACAAATAATCGGCAGGCATATAGGGAAAACAATGAAATAAATCTTCCAAAAAATTCGAATTGAATATGAGCGGGCTTATTTCATTTTTTCGCCAAAAAATCCTGTTGATTACATTAAAAATTTAGGCGGGAACTGAAATCTTTTTTTTCCTGATTTCACATGATTTTTTCAAAAAACTATCATTCCCTCTTTATATATTAATAGATAGATTATACTACAATTTACTCCCACAATTGGAGACGATCTCCGCCCTAGATCCAAAAGCCCATCTAATCTAATCTAAAGAGAGAGATAAGTGAGAGTTTGCACTTCAATTCAGCAAACCGATACAATGACATCCACTTCATAAAAAGGGGAAATAAAATTCCGTCTAATTGACTCTAAATCATGGGGAACATTCCGCTGTCCGTCCTCCGCCAACCGCCGCCTCCGCCAGGCCGTGGTGGCAGCAAGGATGGCTCGCAGACAACCGAAGTAAACCAACGGAACTCCGAGGTACCCTTTCATATATGTTTCTATCTCACTTTCCGGCATGATTATTCTAATATCAGCTTATATATATTTCGTTCTGGTGTTCCTCGTACGAGATGCTTTCTGTTTCCTCCAATTCGAATGATGAAATTATCTTATGCAATTTTTGTGATAAATCCTGAATTTTACTGGTGCAAGTGTGCAACCTTTCTGCAGTGACACAGTAAATTTGGTGCAAACTTTCTTCAGTGACACATTAAATTTGTTTGAAGTCTCTACTTTTACAAGCAATTTTGCTCCCCATGACCCGATTCCCAATTTGTTTAATGTTTCCCCTAAACAATTAACCGTATTAATAACGACAATAGTGATTTGGAGGGTGATAATTGTTGTGTTTTTGTTTGAAAGAGATGAAGTATGTAAGTGAATAAGTGATCACTTCCTAAAGGATTAGTATTGATTTTTGTTTCTAAAAAAGACGAATAAAAAAAAAAAAAATGGTTTGTGAATGGATATGAGATGAAAATGAAATGGTTATAGTTGATATGACATATAACGAGCTAAGCAATGAACATTATCAGAGGTACGGAGCAAGTGATTAGTGAAAGTTCCATAAAAAAATGTGAATGGTGATGTTTGTTATCAAATAAACTAGAGATTCTCCAAATAAGTTCATTTTCAATTGTTACATCATTTCACAATCAACCGCTGATCCCCTAATAAACATTACAGATGACTCGACACAATCCCGTACCCAACAACCGCAGGTCACGCCCTTTCTATTCCCGGTCATGCAAAAAGACGAAACCCACCGACATTTCATCCCTCCCAGACGACATTGTGTTCAAAATCCTCCTTCACCTTCCGGCCCAAGACATCTACAACGTGACCCGTCTCGTTTGTCCCCAGTGGTACCGCACGATCCACTCCGCCGACTTCATAAACGAGCACCTCAACTCTTCGCCCCGCGGCCTCCTCATCCAGAACATAGAAGACAAAACCGCCCGCACGAGCCCGATTTTCGCTTACGTGGACCGAGGCCAAATCGAGATCTCGAAGCTCGACTACAAGTTCCGGGACATGGTCTGGACGAGCTGCAACGGGCTGATACTCGAGGGCGACCTCAAAGCCCGTTTCACGGTTATTGTCGCGAATCCCGCCACGAAACAACACTTCTCGATCCCCACGCACGAGTACCACATAGACGACAGGTGGCACACGGGCTTGGGATATGTCCCAACCTCCATGGAGTACAAAGTGGTCCACACGTTCGACTCGGATTTTTACGTGCTGACTTTGGGAGTGGACGACGTGTGGAGGCGGGTCGAGTGCGGGCACCTGACCCCACCCGCCAAGAAGCTTCTCAGGCGTTTGACTCCGCTGGTGACGGAGGGCTATATGCATTGGGTCCACCCGGCGAGGAACATTGTGGTGATGCTCGATTTGGAGAAAGAGGGCTTCAGGCAGTTGCGGGGCCCGCCTGGTAAGAAGAGGGGAAACTGTGGTTTTCTGGAGGGCGACTTGCTTTCTTGTTATGTTAGGCGCGGGTGGTTGTCGTGGGGGGTTTGGGAGCTGAGGCCGGGGAGTGAGGAGTGGGAGAAGGTTATGGGGATTGAGTTGGGAGGTCGAGCTCCGGAGCTCGAGAATTTGTGTGGGAAAGACGGCGGTGATTGTGATTGGGGTCTTAGTGTGGTTGGGTGGATAAAGTATAAGGAGGTGTTGGTTTTTCGTGTGTCGTGCCCGTCTAGGGTTTGCATTGCGTATAGCGTCCGAACGGGAGAACTACGGGCTTTTAAGTTGGATTGTGAGGGGTACAAACACAACTATCTGCCTCATAGGAGCAGCTTGGTTTGGTTGGGTGGCACCTAAACACTTATGTTGAGTGATGTTCCTTTTGCATGGGATGTGTTGTAACTTGTAGTGTGTGTGAGTGTGTGTTGTGAACTCCATGTTTGTGTTGTTAAATGGCCAAAATATGTTTGGCTGCAAAACTTGTCTCCCAGTTTATTTTTGTGTGCAAACCCAAAACTACATTTCAACAAATCATTTTTTTCTTTTTCTTTTTTCATTCTTTTGTTATGCATTCAATGGATTTGGTGACGTCTTTCTACTGTTCTCGTTCTTAGTTTCTGACGTGTATTTGTGTGGTGCACAATTTTCTGGAACAGGTAGCAATTGCGGGCATGATACAAGACACCAAATGCGAAACATCACACTATTACAAAATATTAACGTGAAATACCAACACAACTGTATTAGTAAATATTATTATAGGGACAAATGGCACGACACGACATGATATAAAAATATGAAATTAAAAATTTAATTAATTTTTAGATATATTAATATATAAATTATTGATGTGGATATTTGATAGTAAAAAAATGTAAATTTTCTCATATTTTTAGATGCCTAGTGGTGCGTAAAAAACCTCCGACTAGCTGGAATCGGCTTGATCTTGAACTCCTTCATCAATTGAAATTAATTANGCCTAATCTATGGTAAGAAACTAATTATTTTGTATATGTTTTTTAAGAATTTATACAAAATACTTGAAAATCACCGACCCAATAGTTTTGGTCAATCTTAAACATATTTATTTTCCATTTTGAACCAATTTCCTCATTTCCTTTCTCTGTCCCCATTCATTATCGGCCTGGTACCAAATGTTTCGTTTTGAGCATTGGGCTGATGAACATTGGCCCTTTACTTCATCGTTACCTAGCCATTATTCCCGCCAAAGTCATTGGCACTCCTCATTTCCCGCCACTCCTCATCCCCTCTCCTGTCCTAGCCGTCCTCCGCCGCCCCCCAATATTTCCAATCAGTAAGTTTCACTCGTCACTTATTCTATTCAAGCGTCGCAAGGGTTTTCGTGACATGATATTTTTTCTTGTTACAAAAAGTTGAATTGTTCGAAAATGGTGAGAGAAGTTGAGAACACAAGCGAAGACATGGTGATAGACGGAGTGGAAGCAGATCAAAAGCAAAACAATGCGATACCTGATGGATTTAACTCTAATTACCTGAAGATCTATTATGGTAATATTTTAATTTCATGGTTTCAATTCCTGTTCAAGTTTAGGGTCTCGTGCAGTAATCTTTTTCTTTTCCCTGAGAAAGATGCAATTTGATTTTTTTTTGATGATCTACTGTTCATACGGGATAAAATTGGTTAATTAGTTTGTGAAAATGCACCCGCTGACATTAGTTTCGAGCTGTAGATATGCCGTCGGGGACTGTGCTGCTGAACTAACCTGTGGTTTTTCTGTCACCAAGAATTTTGGTCTGCCTGTGATTATTCTTCATAATTTGAAAGGATTGATTTTGACATCAGCTTTCAGTATTGAAACGAAAAAGAATCAAAAATTAAACTGCTTTTCTCCACTTACATTTAACGGAATTAGAAACCGGATTACAAGCTATTGTGAATGTATTTGCGAAATAACTTAAAACTATAAATTTGTGTAATTTGTGAAATGTTTTTCTAGACTTTGGACACTAATGTCAGATTATGGCGTCAGAACTGAAAGGAAATATTAATGATTTTAGTTTTTGTTCTCCTGAATGTTTCAATCATGCAATTCGCTGATTAAAATTATAATTAATATATTTTTCTCAATGTAGTTTATAAAGCTACTTTTGATTCAATTTCATCAATACAGGGAAATTTTTTCCTTATGCGGATATGCATAAATGGATGTCATATGGAAACGGTAATCCTCTACTCTTAAGTGCTTCATGCCTGTAAATAACGTAATTTATTGATTATTTTAATTGGTTTCACAATTGTACATTTGGTTGCTTATTTTTAGATGGAAAGCATCTGAGATGTGACCAATCGTCTAATATCGAGCACCTTATGCTTACAATTACCTTAAGTTATGGATTACTTTGATGGGTTTTGAAATCGTACATTTGCTTGCTTATTCTAGATAGAAAGCATCCCGGATGTGATCAGTCTTATTTTGGAAGAAGAGAGTTCTCCTTTACTTTGGAGAATGATATATATCTACGTTTTCAGTCTTTTAATGATGCTAATGAACTCGAAAAGTCCATCAAGGAGAAGTGCCCCGTCAAAATTGATATTGGACCAGTTTACAGTGTAGATGTAAGTATAACCTGTTCTACCTTCCGCAGAGAACTTTAGCCAGTTTAATCTGTCTGGGTGCAATATATAATCTCTGTATGTCATGTTGAGAAATTTTGATAGGTCAGATATGACCTTGGCAATATTTTTGTTTCTTGGTTTTCACTAATCAGGCTGTTTACACTTCTGCAGCCAGCGAAGAGGCATGCTTATGCACAGTCTGGTAATAATATTTTCACCCCAGTAGAGAGAGAACTTATATTTGATATAGTAAGTATTTAGTAAGTTTCTCTCTAGATTTTGCAGGTTGAGCCTTGTGGAATATTTGATAGTGGAAAATAAATCAAGTATATGAGGATACATGGATTTGACTGAATTTGTGTACTGCAGGATATATCTGATTATGATGATGTAAGATTTTGCTGCTCCGGAGCTGACGTTTGTCCAAAATGCTGGCCATTGATGACAGTAGCAATTAAAGTTATTGATACTGCACTTAGAGGTAAATGAGGATATAGAGGTCGTTCAGAATGAAAGGAGTGGGGAAGCCTTGTCTAAAATACATTCTGTTAATTATTGTTATCTCTAGCTTTCAACCACAGTAATACATCTGGGCCAACTATGTTGCAGAAACCTGGCGCATTTGGAAATGTTGTATTTTAACCCTTTTAATTTTTCATCATATTTACATGTGGTATAGGATATTTTTTGCTGGTCATTATTTGGTTACTTAGCTATTCTGTATTTGCTATTTGATGTACGTCTTGAGCTGAAAATATTTCCCCACTCCTCGTAGTAGACATTTTAGAAAAAACTGCTAATCAACTTCCCTTTTGTACCTATTGGTGAGAGAGCCTTTTTATGAGCAGTTTCTTTTGTCTGTTAAGCATTAACTTACTATAATAAAAGTAGAAATGCCTTTAAAAAAATTCAGAATGATCTGATGTGCAGATGACTTTGGGTTCAACCACATTTTATGGGTCTATAGTGGTCGTCGTGGTGTCCATTGTTGGGTTTGTGATGGAAAAGCAAGACGGTAATCATGCAGTTATTTTTGTTGAAGGTCTAAAATTTTTTTTTCCAAAGTTTCTTGAGACAAATGCATGCTAAATTGTTATGGTCACCAGGTTAAACAATGAACAAAGGTCTGCCATTACCGAGTATTTGCATGTTCACAAGGTTCTTCCTTCATCCACTGCCTCCCCATACCTATGCTTTCTGTATATATGGCTATCATTATTATATTCTCACATCTTTATTCTATACATTTCTTGTTCCTTTATCAGGGAAATGAAAATAGCCAGAAAAAAGTTACTCTATCGAGCCACTCACTTCATCCTTTCCTTGGGCAAGTACATTCTTACATTAATTGCTCATCTCTATGGACTATATATTGTTCTCTGGCTTAATGTTTGTACTTTTCCATCTTTTAGGAGATCATATGCTGATGTTTTGAAAGAATTCTTCGAGGAAGAGTTCATTTTGAGCCAAGATTTGTTTTCAACTGAGGAAAGATATGAAAAGATATTGGAAATGATTCCAGATGAAAGTAAGCTTTTGTGCTTTATAACTACCTGTCTTATTTTTGTGACTTAATATATAGCATTCCTCACTTTCCATACTTTGGCAGCTATTACTTCTGAGCTGAGGGGAAAGTGGCAGGACAATAAACGGTCACGTGATGATGTGAATGTTGTCCGGTGGGGCCATATTAAGCATCTGCTGCAATCAGGAAAGCAAAAGGTAGTAGGTAGTGTTTTCTTTGTTGAATTATTAAAAAAAAATAAAAAGGGCAGAAGGCATATAAAATGTTTGGAAATTGGTGTCAGAGATGAAATTTGCAGCTGTTTCTATCTTCCTTACACTTATGTGAATAGACATGCTATTTCTTTTATTGTTTAATCCATACTTGTATTTTGTTTTCCGCCTTATGCAATTCTGTTACTTATTCTAAATATATATTTTCTACTTTCCCAGTTCACTTGAGAAATTTCTCCAACTATAAAACTTCATTTTAGCATGATAACGAATAATCAATTGAAATTAACTAATACAATTCCTATGTTTCAGGTACAAAGTATACGCAGGTGTGTTCAAGAGATAGTGTTCTCCTTCACTTATCCAAGACTTGATCTGGAGGTTCTCGATTTTCTTCTTTATATCCTATTCCAATCATGGGTTTTTATTTTTCTTCAGTGAAGGCCTAAAATAGTAGACTACCAAATAATGTTGCACATTGTAGGCTACTCAACATCTTGTCATGGGCTGGTGATTAAATTTCAATTTTGTTGCCACTCAGGTTTCAAAACACATGAACCACTTGCTGAAGGCACCCTTCTGCATACACCCAAAAACAGGTAAGTGCTGAAAAGATTTATCATGGTGAATTCCTGAACCCTCAATGAGAAGTGCATTCCATGAACATTCTCTCTTTTTCTCTTCCAGGCCGTGTTTGTGTTCCTATTGATCCCAAGAAGTGTGAAGAATTTGATCCTTCTGCTGTACCAACTCTTGCAAGGGTCAGTGATTTTTGTTGGTGGTGCATGGTAGAAAAGATTTACATCATATTATATGTTAACACTCAAACTGATACTGATGTACATTCTTTGTTTTCTTTGAGTTGAAAAATACGTCAGAATAGTAAGTCTAGATGTGCTACTTAAATCTAGATTGCTTAGTGTTTTTTCTTTTCTTTCTTTTCTTTTATGAGCTAATAGTGTCTCAATGATGCTGTATGTTTGCCTTGTAGCCATATTTTCAGTTTGAGCGTAGGACTGTCTGGAGGAGGTGTTGTGTAACTGTAAAATAACATAATGGAATTAGATCATGATTTAGGATGATACTTGTCAGTTCTTGCAACCTCGTTTACAACGAGTCTATCTTGCAATTTAACAGTTGCTATACCTGTATCTAATGATTTCTTTGGACGGGAAGTTATGCCACTCTGAAACTGCTACAATCTTGTAATGCAGTGTATAATATATATATTACTAGCTATCAAATTCATCTGTAGGCTATCTGGAAGTGAGTTTTCTTTCTTTACTTTGAGACTACGTGCTTCAGATTTTGAAATCATGAACATGAAGTTGTCCTTGCATCTCCATGATTTATGTCGCGTTTGCTCGTTTTCGTTATGGCAGTACAATGCAAAAGATGGGAAATCCTTCTTTTACATTCAAATATGATTTTGTTTGAGGGTAGTTAGCAGCTCTGTTTATAATCTGAGATTTTTCGAAATTTAGTGCTTGAATTGACATGAACATATGATGTTAATAATAATCTCCAGTCCTAACACAGTTGAAATAAATTTTAAAAGATAGATCTTAAATTATTCCAGTTTCATCATGGGTCATTTTGGTGTCAAGATTTTACGGAATACCCTTTNAGAGCTCAACACGGGAGCCCTAGGAACTGGTAGCGAGGAAGGTATAAACACATTCTTTGAAGTTCATATTGACATCTCTCTCTCTCTCTCTCTCTGTGAAGTTCACAGTTATGCTTTCTGTATGAAATTTCAAAATTTGTTGGGTGGCAGAACTGGAAAATTCATCACTTGGCAAATCAATCAGATATTTCAGGTCATCTTTTTTGCAGCCTCTGCTAAAGTCCTGCAAGGTATAATCCTAAGCCAACGTCTCTTATTCTATTTAAAAAAAGTCTTAAGTTTGGGACCAAATATTCTAAGCCATTCGGGTGTGCCATGCAGGAAGAGATTGAGAGTTCATTTGCTGCTAAAGCTCAACAGTCAAAGAACGGCCTGAGCTGGTGACAGGCAGTCCCCAGTTATAATCTGACTCATGAAGATGATTGCTTGTTTGCTTTTGTGAGGTCATATGAAGCATTTAAATAGTTGTATTTGTTATGAATGCATTTCAACTTGGGAGGGGATTTGTTGTACAATGTATTTGGCGCAAAACACAAGTTTTATTGGTCATCATGTTTCTTCGTGCCCTATCGTTTTATCATAGAAAATAGGTTCTTATCAATTGTTATGTTTCTGCCTTTTCAGGGTTAATTGTTGGTTGATCCAATCCTTTTGCCGTTGTGTTGGAAATATACAAACTAGAGTGACATTTTTCTTTCCATCTATGTATCTTTTTCTTTTTCTTTTCCAAGCGAAAAAAACTTAGATAGAATAGAAAATGATACGTAATTCATAATACAGACCAAGAATGAAAACGCAACACAACTCTGGGCGAAATGAGAACCATACAACTATGGCTTCGAACCCCCATAACAAACTACAGAAACAACCGAAAGCAACTCAATGTGTTGACACTAGCTAAACACACAAAAGAAGCACAACAAGCAGGCAAACTAACTAAAAGCAAAGCAAGTAAAACAACACTACACACAACTACAGGTCAACTTCAAGCATCAACTAGACCTCACACAAGATCGGATTGAACTGAACTCCAACCATTCTTGGACAACATTCTTAACATTTATCTCTTCTGGCATCCAAATTCTCTAAATGCCCAAAGGTTGCGGGATTTTTACATCCACCACAACAGGTAGGTCGATAATTGTTTTCTATCTTCATTAATGGCCTTGTGCTTCAAAGAATAAATGTGCCTCCACCAGTTAAGAAAACACGTATCATCATTCTGATTTGCCTGCCACTAAATTGGACCAATTCCCAGGTCCTTTTTGCTCTCCTACATTCCCAGAATAATAGCTCAGTAGTCTCCTCCTTTTCTCCACAGCAAGTACAAAAGGAGTCCAGATCAATGCCTCTCTTTCTCAAATTCAAATTTACAGGCAAAATCCCTGAGCAACACTTCTAGATGAAGTGTTTTATCTTTCCTTTTATATTCCCTTCAGGAATGTCCATCAGGCTTAATTTCTTTTCAATAAGTTAAGAGTAAGCTGTAGCAATAAAAAAGGTACCTTTGCTGTCTGACTTCCACATCCATTTATCCTCCTCTTAAGGATTCAAAGCCTTGATCTTTAGAATAGTCTCTACAATTTTTTCTTTAAACATTTCTCTCAACAGCTCCACATTCCAATCTTTTCTTCCTTCCACATTCCAACCTTTTCTTCCATCCACCAGTAAATCAGAAACCCAGACAACAAATGCTTGAACTCCAGCTTTAAAACCCAATTTCTTATTCTCTAAATGGCCTCACTTAGTACTCCAATATTTTAGTGAGTCTGGTACTTCTAATCTAGATATGAATGCTCTGATCAAATATTTGTTTGACCTCCATCCAACAATTCCAAAGCCAGGAACCCCCTTGATTTTTCCTTGTCTCAAAGAAGGTAAAATCTAGAAAGCACATGTTTTTCAAAGTTCTACTCACCAGGCTATTAGGCAAAGAATTCAGTCTCCACAGTTGCTTCATGATCAAAGCATCATTGAACAGTTGAATGTCTTGAAAACCTAGGCCTCCCATCTCCTTAGAAGTTGATAGAAGTTTCCAAGCCTTCCAGTGTATACCTCTCTCTTTATCTTCCCCTTTTGACCACCAGAAATTAACACATAGCGTATTGATTTCCTTTCAAACACACAGAGGCAACTTAAAACTAGACACAACAAAAACTGGCAGTGCATTTAGAACTGATGGATTAGAACTTCCCTCCCAACAGTGGATAGGAAATTATTTTTTCAATTGATAATCTTGTTTCTTACTGCATCAAGACCAAAGCTGAAAGCCTTTTTTTTGGACTTTCCAATTATCAAAGGAAGCCCTAAATGCCTGGTTGATTCGTGCATTGTAATCCCTTCTAGAATTCTGCAAACAAACTGTTGAATATGCACAAGAGTATTTCTGCTGAAAAACACAGCATATTTCTCCCAATTAACCAGCTGGCCTGAGAACTTTCTATAGTCTCCAGGATATGAAGAAGCTGGAAGGCTTGGTTTGTGTTAGCCTTGTAGAAAAGAAGAGAATCGTCTGCAGACAATAGATGAGATAGCACAGACCCCTCTCTTGGGATTTTCAGCCACTTTAAGCACCTAAATAAATCTGAATCAGAAGCAATCAATGAAGAAAGACACTTTGCCACTAGAATGAATAGTTAAGGTGAGACAGGATCACCTTGCCTTAACTCTCTTGTAGGACTAACCCAACACTCAACAACACCATTCACAGAAAAAGAAAAAGAGATCGAACTTATACACCCCATCACCCAGCTTACAAATTTAGAACGAAAACTCAATTTTAACATGATCTGTTTGATACTCTCTCATTCAATGTGATCATAAGCTTTCATCATATTCAGTTTTAAGGCCATGAAATAATTTTTGCCTGATCTTTGCCTCAGAAAATGGAAGACCTCTCGAGCCAAAATCACGTTATCCATTATCTGTCTCCCAAGAAAAAAGGCACCTTGAGATTCACCTACACACACACACAACTTTTTAACTTATTTCTGGAATTTTTGAATAATCTTATAAACCACACCACAGAGACTGAAAATTTTTTATTTATTTAAAAATAAAAAAAATAAGTGGACAAAAAAAAGGTGAAAAAAATAAAAAGAACGTATTCTATAAATCCGTTTTACATTAAAAAACGGATTCGAGGAATACATTTTTTATAGTAAAACGTATTCTAACAATATGGTTTACTAAATAATAATTAATTAACATAATTAATGCAATTAAGTTAATTAAATTAAGTAAAAACGAATAGAAGAAATACGTTTTTAAGTAAAAACGTATTATTGCAATACGTTTTATAATTAAAACTGATTTCACAATTTTTTTTAATTATAAAACGTATTCGTAAAATACGTTTTTTAAATAAAATTAACATTAAAATCATTAAAAATAAATTTTCTGTGGAAAATAAATTTTGAAATATAAAACGTATTTTATAAATACGTTTTTGCAATTATAAAACATATTTAGAAAATACGTTTTTTTTGTGTAAAATCAATTTTCCCTAAAGATTGATTTTGCCCTAATTCTACGAAAAACGTATTTTCACTGTAGAAAAATGCAAAATATTTTTTTGGATCTATTTCACAACCTGTTCAACAAATCAGAACTTGTTCAACCAACTGATATGAATCAATTCTCCCAAAATAATCCAACATACACTATATACCAAAAGTCAACCACAATAATTTATTCAAAACACAAATATCAGTATACATAATGAAAAAAAGAAAAAGAAAAAACAAATATGTTCACAAAATTCTCTGAATACAACACAAACTAATTAGGAGTGTATCGACTCGTAGGATTGCGCTGTCGGTGGCTGATCTGACGTTGTGGTTGTCGTGAAGAAGACGATGCTATGGGCGTAACAGGTTCTTCTTCTTCTTGTTCTTCTTCACCTGAGTAAATTATTTTTTTTAAAATCACAATAAATAAATAAATACAATAAATAAAATTATTTTTGTGTTAAGTTAAAAATTTTCACCTTCTTCTTCTTCTTCTTCTTCTTCTTCTTCCTGAGACCCGGTGTCGGCAGTGGGTTGGCGGTCGCGTCGTCTTCTACCTCCACCAATGTTGGGAGCAGGTCGATGCCTCGCCCGGTGTGACTGCGTCCTCTGGATCGGACGTAGCTCTCCTGCGAGAGAACTTGGCTCGACGACGTCCCTTGTGCGACGTCTCCGCCTCTGACAGTCAGAGAACTGTATAGAAGGCTCTTGGCCTGTTGGAATACCGCCAACACATCTGGATGGAGTGTATGATGTAGGTGGTCCACGTTAGATAACGTGTGAAAAGCACCCTCCATGGCGGTAGCTTGAAAATTAAATTCAAAGTCAATTATAATGAAACAAAAACTAAATAATAATAATAATAATAATAATAATAATAATAATAATAATAATAATAATAATAATAATAATAATAATAAAACACAAATATATATTACTTACATCGCACTTCCCCTGCTCGGCATGTGGGTGAAAGCCTCTGTGCAGTTGGGCCACCGCGTACTTGGCAAAGTCACCGAGTAGTCTCACAGTGATACTGTGAAACCAATCAAGGTAACCCGCCTCAGGCTCAATGAATAACTCCACTGCGAGGGCTGGGACAACATTTTCGTCTCTATGTTCGACCCAAGCATTCCCAAACTCTCCGTGAAAGGTGACCCAATCAAAAACTGGCGTTCCAGTCATCCCTTGGCCTTGATGGTGTAACCGATATTCGGTCTCAGTCGTAATGATAGGAGGCTCGGGGGTGGACTGCCGGAACTGACAGAGGACCCTATCAGGCAGGTGGAGTTCACAGACGTTCCAGTTGAAGATCCACCCCCTATACATTCAGAGGTGTGAACTTTCTGTACACTGGGCCGGGAGAACATTTGGTTGCAGGTGCCACTGATAGGGTAGCCATTCGAACTGAAAAAAAAAATATACAAAAAAAATAATTAGGAATTAAGTTATTAAAAAAATTAAAACAAACAACAAATAAAAATAATAATAATAATCTTACATCCGTCTCTGTGAGCCCTGTCAATTGATCCCGGGTGGTGGTTGTTCCCTTGCCCAGGTGTGTCGTGCTCCTCTTTCCCACCCACCTTAAAAATCACAGTAAAAAAAAAAAAAACAATTTGTAATCACAGAATTTGATAGTGGAAATAATCTAAGTATTAAGTATAAATAAATTTTACTACCTTCCACCTAAGGGACAAGCAGCGACTCTCTCAAAGTTCGTATCCCTCATTCTTGAGCGAATACGAGGGATACGTTCATATGCCCAAACCTACACATATCGACATATTCATTTGTTATTAGATATTAGTCTAAATTAGAATAAAAAAAAAATGAATTTTCAAATAACAAGCAAATAAATTTACCTGAATCAATTGGACACAGTTCTTGATCCAGTTTTCCCCGGACTTGGCGCTCGTGCAGAGCGCTCTATACACTCCGGCCAGGACCGCCGAACCCCAGCTGTACGTCTTGATCGTATCGATGTCGTGCAAAAGTTGCAACCAGTAGAGGTTCACTCTATTTCCCCTCTGGTCGAGGAAGAAGAATGAACCGATGCACCAGAGTATAAGGGCCTTCGCCCTCGCCTCGTAGGTGGGGATATTCTCTACATCGGTTAGCTCTCTGTTGCACTCGTCTTCTAACGCATAGACCTTTAAATACTGGCCATGAATGGCCCAAGTCTTGGGGT